GGAATACCGGTCTCTAGAAGCTCTTCCACCTCGTGCTGCCAGCTGTGTCTCGGGTGGACATTAAGAATGCACAGAGAAGCAGACCTGGGCTATGTTCCCAAGAGTTCGATGACCTTGGTACTACTTTCTCTTTCCCTCCATTACACTCACTCACCTCAGAAGGCCTGTGACTGTGTTACTGCTTGGGAAGATCTAGGCCATCTGATACTTCCTTTCTACTGATCTTACTGACTAAATATAGATAAACAGTTACAAGTCACATTTTTATAAACATTTTTTGTTGTTGTCTTAAATTACCCCATCTTTTATGTAGTAATTATTTAGAAACAAAAGTTATAAAAGTAATTAAAAAAATAATAACATATTAATTGTTGAATACAGAGAATCAGAATGTAAAATTAATCTCTTCTGGTGACTCATTGGAAAGAGTGGGGTGAACAGAAACATGGAGTCCGTGAGGATGGGAAGTGCAGTACCAAGGTTTCGACTGTAGGTTATGTCCTGCTTTAGAGAAGACATGAGAGATTATTAAAAATTTCAACCATAGGCCGAGTGCGGTGGCTCACAACTGTAATCCCAGCACTTTGGGAGGCCAAGATGGGCGGATCACTTGAGGGCAGGAGTTTAAGACCAGCCTGGCCAACGTGTTGAAACCCCATCTCTACTAAAAATACAAAAATTAGCCAGGCATGGTGGCACATGCCTGTAATCCCAGCTACTTGGGAGGCTGAGGCAGGAGAATCACTTGAACCTGGGAAGTGGAGGTTGTAGCAAGCCAAGATCATGCCACTGCACTCCACTCTAGGCAACAGAGCAAGTCTCCATCTCAAAAAAAAAAAGAAAAAAAGTTCAGCAATAGTATCTGTGGTAAATTTGGAGTGAATACATGAACTATTTAGGAAGATTCTTATGTAGGGCCCCTAAAAGTAGAATTTACCTTTTGTTTTTAATTCTGATCTCTTTAAGCAGCAAATTCTGTCCTGTGCCATTGAAGTGCCATAGAATGAAATAGATGGAGAGGCTAGCTTTGTTTGCATAATACTGCTGTGCAGACATGTTGTCAAATTGTAGTTTTCAGAGGATTTTGAGATGAGATGGTGATCCTTCATTGTCCGGGTATCAGTGATGTAACCACAAGTGTCCTTGTGAGAGGGAGGCAGGAGAGTCCAGTTAGGGTCAGAAGAGGAGCAAGGGGAGGCCTGAGTGATGTGGAGCCCTGAGCCAAGGAATGTAGGCAGCCTCCTGGAAACGGAAGAGGCAGGGAGCCTAGACCATCCTGAAGAATGCAGCCCCGCCGGCCCATTGCAGACTTCTGACTTCCAGAACTGTAAGGTTAATAAGCAGGGTCTGTTGTTTTAAGCCGCTCAGTTTGTGGCCCTTTATTGCGGCGGCAGCAGGGGACTAATAGACAGTGAGGGAGAGATTTAGTCACTTGTTGACTCAGTATTGCCCATCCGCTCTGCCAGGCACGGTGCCCGGCCCCACTGGACCTCGCCTCCTAGACAGAGAGACAGAATGAGTTTTAGAGAGCACTGCGTGCTGCCATGAGAACAGAATTGTCACACGGCAGAAAATGATTGAGCAAGGAGGAGCAGAGGGGGCTCGTTTGGATGGGGGCAGGAGTCTAAGAATGCACCTCTGGGGAGGTGACGTTTCAGCTGGAACCTGAATGTAAAATAGGAAGTGGGCATGCTGAGCTTTGGAAGCCAAGGGTTCCAGTCAGGGGACACTGTGAATGCTGAAGGTACAGAGGGACTCATGCTGTGACATGAGGCAAAAGGATGCAGGACTCCCCTCCGCCACAGCCCTTCTCACTTAGATTTAAAGGAGGAGGCTGTGGTGGCTCAGGTTTTCTTATCCCCCCGGTGGGAAGGCCTCAGGAGATTCTTTTCATACCTTGATCTTGCCCAAGAGGGTTGAGGGTGTGCGTGGGAAGCTTCCTTTTTCATGGGCATTTTGTCTGTGACTCTTGGCATCCATGTGCCATGCCCAGTCATCACCCGTCCTCAGCCCCAGCACTCTGCAGGCAGTGTTCTGAGAGCAGAGGAGCCTTAACTCCCAAATCTTTTAAGTGATACTGTGTCAGAACTGAGAACTTGCTACTTTTGTCATCAAATTCTAAATTGGCTTTGTCATCTGGAGTGGAGCAGCCCTCCTGCACACAGTCCCTGGCAGGAGCGGCAGCAGAAGGCCGAGGGCCAGCTCTTCTGGGTCCAGACAAGCTGTCCCATGCTCTGCCCTGGCCCAGCTCTGTGCATGAGGAAGAGGAGAGTGTTTCTGTTGCTGGCTTCCTATGAATAAGCCCTGAAGGCTCACAGTCACTGTCCACTCCGTGTTCTCTCATAGCCCTTGCAGTCTAATAGTTGATGTCAATTTTGGAGAACATTTATTCCCATCACATGGTTTTACCAGCAAAAAGGTGGGGGTGCCGAATGGGGATAGGACCAAAGCCTGTCGAGAGCTTTCAGAAACCGTACCCCTGCACCCCAAGGACAAGGAGGATCGTGGACCTAGGAAACTGCGGTGGGAATGCTGAGCCTTGTTTTCTGTAGTGACATCTCCTACATCTTTTTATTTTATTTATTTATTTATTTATTTATTTATTATTATTATTATTATTATTATTATTATTTTTTTTTGAGATGGAGTCTGGCTCTGTCACCCAGGCTGGAGTGCAGTGGCATGATCTCAGCTCACTGCAACCTCTGCTTCCCGGCTTCAGGCGATTCTCCTGCCTCAGCCTCTCAAGTAGCTGGGACTACAGCTGGGCACCACCAATCCTAGCTAGTTTTTGTATTTTTAGTAGAGACGAGGTTTCGCCATGTTGGCCAGGCTTGTCTCAAACTCCTAACCTCAGGTGATCCACCCACCTTGGCCTCCCATAGTGCTGGGATTACAGGCATGAGCCACTGCCCCCAACCTCCTCCATCTTTTTTTAAAATGCACCTCCCCTATCCAGCTGTGAACACTTGTGAGTTGCTTATGTAAAAAATCAAGGGCATTTTTCTCTTTGTGAAATGTTTTTTGTAGGTTCTCTATTTTTAATTAGGTACTGACTTTTTAAACCCACAAATGTCATGCCTCCCAGAATTAGAAGTGTAAATGACCTTCGGGGGCCCCCTCCCAACTCTGCCAGTTAATCCGGGCTCCTAGAACCCCGTAGAGGTGTTTGGAGATACCCACAAAGTCTGTGTACCTTGGCGATCATATGTGAAGTGGGTTATTTTGGTTTTTGTTTCTTTAATGAATAGAATAACGTAGTTAGTAATACTCATTCACCCAAAGGACGGGGGGCTGCTAAATCATTGTGTTTTTTGATGAATGGCTTGTACACTGAAAAATAAATTGGACAAACTGGCATAGAACTCAGTGAACATGAAATCAGCTATTAGAAGAAAGCTTGTGAACAAATTCTGAGGCAGATATGCATCTTTTGATTAGTGCCCTATCAATCATCCACACAGCTACTTTAGCTACGTCTTGCCATAATCATTCATGCTTGCTTTTGGAAACACTGGCAGCAACTCTAACGTCGCAGAAACGGAATATTACTACTGATTTCTCCCTAACTTACTGTGAACAATGGCTGTTTTCACCATGTTTCTGCTTTCCTTTATTAAAGAAACACAATGCAGAATGAAAGGAGAGTTCCTCAAAGCCTGGTGAAATTCTCCTAGGGTATTCTTAATGATATTCAGTCTTAAATGGGCAAGCTATTGTAATACAAGGTTCTCTGTAGGAATAATAGTAATGTAATCCCATTGAAGCTGCCTGTTATGGATTGTAGTCGAATAGGCAAAATGTAGAGTCACATTAATGAACAGAGTATATCTTTGGAATTATTACTTAAAGTTGTTGAAATGGTTTGAATTTTGTTATTGTAATTATTTTATTCTCCGTTAATGTGCTTAAGAGCCATAGTAATTAACCCACCAGATTGGAAATTTGCATGAGTTCTAACTTTGACGTTACAAGAAACCCTGATTCTTCCTGGGTATTACACAGCAGGATAGGGAGAAATAGATACACACACATATATAAATATTTTTTCACTGATTATTTTTTTAAAAAGAAATTTCCATGAATGCAATTATTAGTTTTTCACGCATTTTTAAGCCATTGGCAAATTCCTTAAGAACACTCGATTCTTTTAAGAGGATTTGATTCCAAAACTATGCTGGCACAAAGAATGATTTGGCATTGCCTGCTAGTCGAGAAATCTTTAGGTAATATCGCTGTTTCCTCAGGACTTACTGTAGCCTGGGAAATAGTGTGGCATAATAAAGTAGTGACAGGCATTAGCATGCATAATGGGCTTTAATAGACATTAAATACTGTTTAGCTAGAAGAGGGAGCAGTGCTTTCCCACTGGAATATTCCTTCATTGAAGCCCATTGATCACTGATTTCAGTGGGGAGAGGTTAATCCATCAGCTTCTGTAACCAGACGGCACTGATGGAAATTCTTTAGGTGGCATTCTGGATGAACCAGGCTTTCCATCTTTACAAACAAATGAGTGATATGACAAGCATGGTGTTCAAAACACATTTAACCAATTGATTTTCTTTCCTCTTGTAATAAGATCTGGAGACATATGAAAGCGTGCGGTGTGAGCTGAGATGAAAGGAATTGCTGCATGCACAGGAACATGCGGAACTGAGAGCCAATAAAAGTCCTATAAAGCATGTAGTCACCCATTCTCTTTTTTATATAAAGTTTGTTATTGCAATAAATAGTTATTATTGAGCCGATGCCTTTTATTTCCGTTTTTGCAGGATCTTGTCTCGTATCTGCGTGTATGTGTGCATGCACGTGCGTGTCTCATCTCAGGGCTCCTCTTTCTCTTAGAAGTTTTCAAGATGCTTGGCAATAATCCTACTTCTCATTTTAACAGATTTGATTTGGAATGGTAAAATTATAAATAGAAAGCTGCAGATCTGGTGCAGCGTCTGAGCTCGGCGTTCAACTGATGGTCTTCTTTTATTATCTCCCCCGCGCAGCCCTGCCTTGAGCTTCACCTACTCTTCTGCGCCCGTCTCTCTCCACATGCATCAGCAGATCCTAAGCCGACAGCAGAGCTTAGGTTCAGCCTTTGGACACAGCCCTCCACTCATCCACCCTGCCCCAACTTTTCCAACACAGAGGCCTATTCCAGGGATCCCTACGGTTCTGAACCCCGTCCAGGTCAGCTCCGGTCCTTCCGAGTCCTCACAGGTGAGAGGGACAGGTTGATGTACCTGGCCGTGCTGGTCAGCTGAAGGTGGGTCAGCCACCATGTGAGCCGTTAAGCAACATGGCACCTCTGTGTTCTCACAGCCTCCAGACTGGCAGCTGTCTTCTTAATGCTGAGATCTAGTCTTTAGCTTGGTGGACGTGTTGTATAATGCTCCTCATCAAACAATAGCTTCTTCCCCCAGAGTCATTTTCTCATGGGCATAGTGGCAGGCTGCTTGATAAGGTTTCACTGTGACCTGGTGCCATCGTAACCTGCACCCCATGTCACTGCAGCGTGTGGATGAATTGCTCTAATTTGGTCACCATTCACTGCCACTGCTAACAGTTGTGACTTACCACCAGGTAGTACTTTAGAGTAAGACTAAAACTGCTCTGCCCTGTGTTAACTGTTGCCACTTTGATACTGTTTGGAGAAGAATCTGGATGCTCTAATTAAAGAACTTCACAAACGGAACGTGTTGGTCTTCCACCCTCCTCACAACTTTGTTCTTTTGAAATACACTGTTGGAGCTTGTTACAGCCTAGGGCCTCAGCTCTATTCTTCCAGCTTTTAAAAGCCATAGGGAGTTTATACTCATGAGTTAAAAATGGAGAGCTGCCGCACGAACGTATTTTCTAGCTTTGAACACGTTGTCTGAACTCTACTATCCTGGGATGGGAGCATTATCACAGTCGTTGCTTTATTGCCAAATAAGCCCGCTTGTCCTGAGTTGCAGGTTTTAATTATGGTTCTGCTTCTTGTTCATCAAAACCTTTTTGTCTCTGGCTCTGCAAATGTGACAGCAGAACAAACCCACGAGTGAGTCCGCAGTGAGCAGCACTGGTGACCCGATGCACAGCAAGAGGTCCAAGATCAAGCCGGATGAAGACCTCCCCAGCCCAGGGGCTCGGGGGCAGCAGGTAGGACACACAGGCCAAACAGGCCAGCGTCCACTCCTCCCGAGATGGGTGTCTTTGGGCCACTTCCACTCCCCCTTCCTCCCCAGTCCTGATGTATTTTTGGGGCACCTCCTTGCCCACTGCATTGTTGACCTTGGCCATGCTCAACATGGTGAACAAAAGGCTAGGTATGGAGTGACTACGTTGTTTTTCTAGCTCGGAAGCAAACACAGGCAGTGCGGGAAGCCATGTGGGGCATTCCTTCCTGACAGTTTAGGCAGCTTAGGAGTATAGACAATTGTAGTTAATAGAGGAAATGAGGAAATGGTTGTATTAATTTTTTGCTGGCCACAGGTGAGACCAGGCTTCAATCCTCATCTGTGATCTTGGGTCTGAATTACTGAGTTCCTGCACCCAAGCCTGAGCTAGGGCAGATCTCCTGATGGCTCCTGTACCAATTGTGTTTTTATTTTTTCTTGTTTTGCTACTTCCCTCTTTCTAGGAGAGCCATATGAACCATAAGGGATGAAAGCACAAGTAACCTAAGGCTAGTTAGATTCTGGCCCTCAGCCCCAAATTCTGAAAGCAAGAGTGTAGGAATTTCCATCTGGACTCCGCCTCTAGTCACTTAAATCCTCTGGGCCTCAGTTTAAGGATGTGTAGGTTATACCCATAATATCATCTCATAGGGCTCTCGGCCTGACACAGGAAGGAGCTCTGTGACTGCTATTTCCCCAACATAGAGCTTGGACAAGAGTCCAGATGTCCACAGAATCTGGACCTTGCTGTCATCAGGCTGCTTCAGCCCAAGCCTCAGACTACTTGCCCAAATTTCCTTTTCAGCAAGAATGTGGAGGCTGGAGTAAATTGGTGTCCCGGGTTCTGAAATGGATCTTTCCTCTTGCGTATTGCCCGACAGCAACAACCTTGCCAGTCACACTTCAGTGCCTGCATACGTTTTCATCATCTAGCCCTGGATTGGGACCTGAATCTACACAAGATGAATTCTCACAATGACTTGTATTTGCATTGCTGTGAAGCTGCCTTGGGAGTTTAGCAAGGACTGTGCCCCTGAGCTTTGATGCAGTGGCCCCTGGGCCTTGGCTAGTGAGCATATCCACAGAGAACGGAGGTTGAGTCAAATGGGCACTTTCACTACAAAGTCCACAAAAGTGCCTCATACAGTCTCCAACAGCAGGGAAAACAGAAGTACTAGTAAATGATTTCCCTGGATTACAAAAAGTAACAATAAACAAATTAACACACTGAAAATAATTAAAACAACTAAACAAAACAGAAGTAGCAGTCTTTGGGTAAAGCCCTAATTTTTTTTTTTTTTTTTTTTTTGAGACAGAGTTTTGCTCTTGTTACCCAGGCTGGAGTGCAATGGCGCGATCTCGGCTCACCGCAACCTCCGCCTCCTGGGTTCAGGCAATTCTCCTGCCTCAGCCTCCCGAGTAGCTGGGATTATAGGCACGTGCCACCATGCCCAGCTAATTTTTTGTATCGTTAGTAGAGACGGGGTTTCACCATGTCGACCAGGATGGTCTCGATCTCTTGACCTCGTGATCCACCCGCCTCGGCCTCCCAAAGTGCTGGGATTACAGGAGTGAGCCACCGTGCCCGGCCCGAAGCCCTAATTTCATTCATTCTCTTGGGAGTTTTGTTTTGTTTGGTTTGGTTTCATTTTGGGTTTTTCTTGAGATGACATTTGGCTTTATTTTCAGCTTTGTCATTCAGTTTTTTATCATGATTTTGACAGGCTGTTGCCCTGAATCACAGGTTCAGGCTCAGGGTGTTCGGTAAGTCTGAAAACATGCACTGAAATGACTTTCTTGTTTGACATCTTCAATCCATAAAACCCTAGACCCAAATCTAAGTTAAGTTTTTACCTTCTCTCTTGTCTTCCCTTCCATTGTGTCTGATTCTCCCCGCTTCTCTGTTGTCTCCCCCAACCCTCTTCTTTCAGGAACAGCCGGAAGGCACAACCCTTGTCAAGGAGGAAGGGGACAAAGATGAAAGCAAACAGGAGCCCGAAGTCATCTATGAGACGAACTGCCACTGGGAAGGCTGCACGAGGGAGTTCGACACCCAAGAGCAGCTTGTGCACGTAAGTGGATGGCATTCAGGAATGGGGCTTTACAGCTCTGTGACCCTTTCCAGGGAGGTTGGCCCCTCTGACCCTGCACCGAGTCAAGTTTCCTAGTGAGCAGCACTGCGAACTGGAGAGGGCTTTATGACTTTCTGAGAATAAAGAAAACTCAGAGCCATGGTGCTTGACCTGTTCAGTCAGCTAAAGCTGAGTGTAAAATTCAATAAAGTCTTCAATAGAGAGTGTAATGACTCTGATCCTGTAAGCCAGAAAACACTATTTTCAGTTAGCGACTTTGATGGTTATTGAGTAATAGTAAGCTGGACATGAATTATGATTAACCTTTTAGCCAAGTTTGATTCCCTTTCCAAGACCCAGTAACAATGGGAAAAATGTGGAGGTGAGGGATTCCTTTTTTCCTCTCCCAGACCCTCAGAGCCTAAGGAAGCTCCCATTATTTGAAGCTGCAGTTAGTACTCTTGATGAGCGAGGTAGCATCATTGCTTGGTTTGAGGCCAGCCCTTGTGGGGTTAGGAGTTTCATGGAAAAAGTTATATGTGTTTTTTTAAATGTATTTCGTGATGGATGTTTTGGAAACTGCAGTGCGGTCAGATTGAGAACCACACCTCCTCTTCCAAACCAGGTTCAGAAAAGTTTACACACTCTCCTGCGTAGCATTTCAAACAGTGCAGTGTGCACACAGCCTCCTCCGCACCCCCATGCCTGATTTGTGATGCTCTCTTCCCAATAGCGCTTCACTGTTCTTCGCACTTTCTTGAAGGCTAGTGGAGTTTTCCCTGGCAAATGGGACCAGGAGCAGCTCACGTGGAAGGGCATTTACACGACCAAGAATAAAAAGAGGCAGGTGCTGCAGCTCCTGGCAGAAGCACAGGGTCCTGCTGAGGCATTAAGAGTGGGCAGTTTTTTAAGCTTTTAATATGATGAAAAATTGGACAGAGTAGCATTTGTTGCCGTTCCCCCTCCTGCTCTCTCTCTCTCTTTCTCTCTGTCTCTCTCTCTCTCCGCTTTCTCTTTCCTGATCCATTCTCTTTTACAGTAACTGTATTTTTAGGTAATTCATGTTTCTTGATAACCCTCCTCCATTTAGATTAAACACTAAAATTATGAAGTCCCTCTTCCACCCCACACATTTCATAGGCGATGTGAGCCCTTAATATGTTGTCCTGCACCTCGGCCCATCCTGTGTAATGTATTCCATGCATCGCACTTACACTGCAGTGGTAAGCACATAGGCTGCCAGATTTTGAGCTCTGTTCTGTACAGGATGCTTTGAGGATTTTACATGAGGTCGTCAGGGTTCCTCCTCTCCATTTCTTTTTAAATCATATCGCCTAGTAATTGCATAGGAAGAATTATAGATTTCTGAGCACAGAAAAAAAAAATCAGAAAGTCAAATGTTTTTAATTAAGGTATATTTCCAGAATTTTTCCATGAACTGAATTTGATTCTTTCTCTTTAAGTTGATGCAAGTGTTATTTTGAAGCGAAGCCTGACTTCATGGCCCTTTATTCGTGCTGTTTTAATGGAAATCACAAAGACATTGGAATTCCAAAGGGGAGAACAGTTTGGAATTTTTGTTTTAGTATGGCGAAATACTCCCAAAGAGTAGCGTGTGCTGCGTGTATCCTTAGTGATATAATGAGTGAACAACAAACGTGAAGAGAATTGTTTGTGCAAAAGCTGCCATCATAGAAGAGATGCTGGCAGGGCATCATGCTTTTTAAAATATCCTGAGGGTGACACCGTCTCACGGTGCCGTTTTGGGGGATAAGTCATTGTACTTTGCAAGGAGTGTTGGATACTGGTTCGGTCATTATCGAATCAGGAGTGAAATAAGATCTTATTTTAAGTCTACATTTAAAATGAATTGTGCTCCCCATAAGAGGCAGGGTTTGAAGTAGTATTTCTCAGAGTGTGGTGGTGACTTAACCCTTTCGCAGCCTAAATACGGTATTGTGAAAGCTTTTCAAAGATGGTGAAATTGCAGGTATTTGAATTTAATCTCGATGGCCACTGGTCTCTATGATGTTTTAATAAAGAGATCTGAGTATTGACGAAAGGCTGCTTCAAACCACCGACTAAATGACCACCGTGCTGTTTCATCAAAACGGTCTTTAAAAATATGAATGTGCATATGTACAGCGGAATATTTTAATTCCAGATTAACCAGAAGAAGTTCATGCCAGGATTAGAAGAAAATCCAATATATTACCTTTATGATACTAATTTTAGTCTGAGACAAATTATATGAGTAAATAAACTTAATTAAATGAATTAAGAATTATAATTTACCACAACATAAATACAGAGACTAGTTTATATCACTTATTTTGCACCTTTTTACTTCCTGTGTAAGGTGCAGAAATCCCACATTTGCGTGTTTAAGTTGATTCTACATTGCCTGACATGTGCCTACCTTCTTACTCATGAGTATAGCCAGCAGCAGTGGTGGTGGCCTGGTAGAGACTAGGTAGGTGCTTTGTATTATGTTGATTGAAGGAATAGCTACTTCACGTCTGCCTAATTACTTCGGTGGTAGAATAAATACCAGTTAGAAAAGCTGCTTTTTTTTTTTTTTTTTTTTTTTTTTACAGAGGGTAGCATTAACAGTTTCCATTCCTGTGACTTTCCTTAGAGAGAGGACATTTTGTGAATTAGTTGAATTTTCATGCCACATACAGCCAAGAGGCAAGGTGTTAAACCATTCTGATGCTCTGCCTTATTTATAGCCGTGACCCATTCTTTTTCCCCCTCTTACAGTTAATAGAAAGATTCATGATTCTTCATGGTTGTCTATCTAGTGTCTGACAGTCCCGACTGCCTGCTAAAGCAAGTCACTATCTATAATTGATATCCTTCCGGGGAATAGGGTGCCAGCTGCAATTGAAGGGCTTTGCTGAAAGCTCTTAAATCCTGACAAGTTCTCCCCTTGTTCTGGTTCAGTCGTTGAGCTGCACGGTTGGAATTCCGGAGTTATTTGAACTTGGTGCAAAAGGGAGACATGTGTTTCACATTAGCGAATCACAAAGTTGAAGAAGAGAGTTAGAAACTCGGCTGACTTTGCCTGCCAGGTAGTCTCATTTCCACTGTAATACACTCCATGTACTCTTGAAAAGATTACCTCGTCCATTACTATCTGAACAGATGGGCTAAATATTAGCCTTTCCCTTCTCTTCTCCTTTATTTCAAGCCCTTCCCCTTCACCAGTTATGTGTTTATTCTGGGTTTGCTGCTGGGTCTTTATCACAGGGATGTTTAATTAATTTCTCTTCCCAGCAAAATAATTACAATTGGGCTTAGTTACTCTCAAGCTAGTATTGAATTTGTCATAAATTTACTTCTGTGACCAGAAGCTAAGAAGATAGACGCGTATTTTTGTTAGCTATGTTTTTGTTGTACTTCGTCTCTTTCTTGGTGTTAGTTAAAATCGAAGGAAACAAGAAAAGTATATAGAACAAAAATTAATTCCAAGTAGGCTGAAGACTGGATTTATTATCGATTTACCAAGACGCAGGTATCTTCTCTTGCCATTTGAAAGACACGCATTCTAACATCTCAAAATGAGTTGAAAGTCCACATTTTTCTTCAATTTTGAATTCCCCAGACCACCTTTTTGTTGTTGAGCATTATATGATCGAAGACGTGAACCCTGACTTCAAACGTGCTTCTGAGAGCTGCAGTACCTCCATTCACAAAGTGTCGTTTGCTTTCGCTTTCTGCTTATGCTGATGTTCCTTGGTTTAGCTTGTGTTACTATGGAAAGCAGCTCAGCCCAGCTTCTTCCAAGCAGGAGGGACGCTTTCTGTGTATACCGAGATCCATTTCCCTCTTGTTTTAATTTTGTCCTAGAAGTAAGTTCCATCTCTGGCTCTTTGATGTTTGAGTGCCGGAAATACGCACATCCTGCGGCACACGTTGCTCTCAGGTTCCCTGAAACCTGCACACTTTGGTTGTGCATGACATTGTGTATACCACCCATATTTTGAGAGGCTTTCTAAGAAGGAGGAAAAGAAATAAACGTAAACAACTTTTATATCAGTGTGGAGTCATCACTGCTGAGTGGCTGGTTATGCTTGAAAACATCAATGCTGAGATTGAAAGAATAATAATATCATCACCATACCTCATGTCCACCTGTTTGCTGTAACTCTTTGCCCTCAATTTCAACAATCCGACTCCCTATTTCTGTGTAAGAAATAACACAAATAATCTATTCCCAAAGGTCTTTAAAAAGTCCAACTATTTTTAAAGTTTTATTCCCAATCCCCAGCTGCATGCCCCTGCAGGTGCCCTTGGCAGTCTCACTGAGGGATGTTGCCTTCTGCCTGTGGGGCAGAACCGCAGAGAATGTGAGATGTGTTTCTGTGAGCACCCAGCTTCAACTGGGTGGCATTTAAGTCTCTGTAATCCTCCATTTGTCTTCCTTAAGCATAGTGTCAAAAATTCACCTTTGTGTAGCGTGATTAACCACCTACTTGGATTTTTAAAATGCTTTCATATGCTGCAAGTTTTGATCTCTAAAAGCATGCTGAAGTTTCCTTTATCGGAAGAATACAGTTATAATCACCTTGGCTGCCATTTGGAAACAAATTCTATACATCGGCAGCATGAAAATGAGCGGCTTTCTTTTTAATATAGAAATTTAGATATAAAGAAAGCACATCTAATTTGTGAAGAATTGATGTGTCTGTAGGAACGCAAGGAAGAGTTAGGGTGTGAAGACATCATTTTCACGTTGATACCGTGATGCTAAATTTGCATTTTAAATGTTTCCCATATAATTTTGATCCCTTTGCTAAAGTTGCATTGTCTATCCTTACCTAAGAGAAAATTGAGTTTAAGATGTGATGGGGTCTCAGATATGAGGCAGAAATTAGTTTTGCGTGTGCGTGAAACATAAAACGAGTGAGTGGAGATTTTGATCTTATTTTCTCTACTTGGAGTTGCTAGTTAATTTGGTTGCTGTAATTATTTGGAAACACGGCATATAAAATAGA